ATTTGCATTGATGTAAATACGAGCAGAATCCAGTTCAAAATGTTTTTAAAAAGATCTAAGTGCACTGTTGTATTTTTAGATAAAATGTGCTGCCTCCTGACATTTTTAATGTCTCTTTTAGTTGAAGAAATACCACATTGCTTGTTCCTTATATTTCAAGCGAGGCATTTGTGTTTTATATTTATGATCTGTTTTTTCTGCACAGCTCAGTATGAATTCTAGAGTGATGTAATCTGCCATGAAAGGAGGGATGCCTTTACTAACTGGCAGAATCATCCGTGATTTGTGGCAACAGTTTGTTTGCAATCCATCAGGTCATAAACAATAGCGTGCACTTCAGTGAGCTTCAGTATTTAGAGTGATGTAAAGACAATGGCCATTAATAGTAGCTGGGCTTCAGAGAACTTAGCAGTATCAAGAAGAAGCAGTTTATCCATCTTGATCCCTGATAAATAATGTCCAAGTTCTTTTTCACTACATGCCTTAGGTGCATTTTTTGTGCACCTAAAACCCCTTTCAAAACCTCCCACTATAGTGCTCTTAAAAATATTGAACAGTAGCATATTATTACAGTTTGGTGGAACACACTCCTCCCACATATAGTGAACAAGAATAAGCGTTCTTATTGAAATTTTTCTTTGAGTGCTTTTTGCCAGAAAGACCTCATGAGAAAAGTCTTTATTTTATGAGCTCCCGATGCTATTAGAGCATCCCCAGTACACTCAACAGTAAATGAAATTTTGTCCAAGTGAGCTCCATTTTTTTAAAACCAAAATTCATGTCCATGTGCAATAATTTCTGAGGAGGGCTGAAATTTACAATATACATTTCTGAGGGGGACTGAAAAGAATATCTATACTATCCATGTGTAGTAAATATGCCTTAAAAAGTTGTGTAATTTTATCCTACAGTACATTTTACAGTACTTTCAAGAATTAAATACTGTAGAACAACAACATAACTGTTCCACATCATCAGCTCTGCAGACCTGCAAAGGGGGCAATTGCCACAGCCTGGCGGGGGCTCCCTTCTGCTGCTGCGGTTGCTGCTGACAGCAGCAGTGGCCAGTTTTCCAGGCCTGTTAAATCACTGGTGATGTTTTGAGTGGCACTGAAGGGCTGAATAGGGGAGGCTAGATCCCTGCCCCACCTCTTCTTAATGAGGTCTCACCCATACTGGGGTATAGATTCAAAGCCCTCTCCACCCCCCCACGCATCTTGTCCCGGGGCCCAGCATCATAATGTGAGCATGGTGGGAAGAGGAAATCACTGATATCTGTGGGGATGATATCTCCTCTGAATGTAATCTTGAAGTCTAGATACTTGGCTACAATTGTGGGAGGGTCAGTGCAGCTTTGGGAGGGAATAATACACAAATGGCTTTGATGCTCCTCTGCTGACTGGCTTTGTTGTAAGTGCTCCCACACTGCTGTATATTTATGATCTATGTCATCTGCATATTTTTCTGAATGCTCATGTGATGTAATCTGCCGCAAAGGTGGGATGTGTCTACTAACTGGCACACTCATCAGCTCCTGCCATGTCATTTGGAGCAGCAGATGGTGGGAGACTGTTTAGAAGCACGCTAGGAAGACTATTAATGAATGCCACTAAAGTGGGTGATTTTCTTGTGGCAAACTACCTCCAGTTCTTGGCCAGAATCTGCCAGTGAGTTGAATGTTGGCAAAGCATTTTAATGATCTTAGATGAAATGGAAGTGCATATACATGTTAAATATCATAATCTAAGAAATACTATTTAAATGCTCCTGGCAAGTCATTCAGGCACTCATTATTTATTAAAATAAACTTCAGTGCTATTGGAGACTGGGCATCAGGGTTGTCATTTGAGCAATAGACTTTGTTTTTTCTAAAAAGTACAAGAAGAAAAAACGATAGAGGCTCTATCAATTTACAATGGCTCAGAAAATAATGTGAACACTGAATGTGATGTGACTAAAGGAGATGACAGCTAGTGTTCATTGGTTCCACAACCAATCCAGGGTCAGAATTATTATAGTAGAAGGATCATTCTAATAATGCGCTTATTTAATTGTTATGTAATAGTCTGCTCACTGTCAGGATCTGAAATTTCCCAGCCTCAGATCTGGTTTCTAGTTTCTGGGTTTTGTACAGTGTTTGGAAAACTATTTATAATACATCAATACATATTTCCAAAAGTATAATAGAACAACTAGCTTTTTGACTAAGTTTTGTAGACTTCGTTGATTTCTTTAGCAAGATAACTCCAATAATGCAATGATAGACACTATACAAGTTAGATATATAGCTAGTTAGTGAAGCATGATCTAATGGCCTGAGCATAGGATTCCAAGCAATATGTTCCTGAGTTCTAATCTTGACTCTTATGTCAATTTATTTTATGACCTGTAGGCAGTCTGAAACCATATTGCCACAGTTTTTTCCTCTGTACAATGGAGGTATATATATGGATTGCCTCACAGAGGTATGGAAAATGACTTATTTAACTGCTTTCGTGATGAAAAATACTATTACATAAATGCTAAGTACTATTACTTCAGAAAAAATGCATTTTAAAGCTGTAGTTCAAGTCCTGTAAGAGAAAATATTTTCTAGTGCATTTTCTGTTACATAGCAACTTTTCGGCTTTCACATGCATCTCATATAGAAAGTCTAAGCATATTGTATGTATGATGACAGTAGTGTCTATTAATGCAGTGTTGTTCCTAATTCACAGTATAAACAGAACTGTTCTCAAAGATTATGTGATTTATAGTAATCAATATAACATACCAGCGTATAGTCCAGACCAATGAGTAGCTGTGCATGCCCTTCCCTGTAACTTTGGATGTCATTTGCAGTGCCTTGCTACTGTAGCTTCCAATGGGGATTGCTCATAAACAAGTCACTTACTTCTAGCTATATCTCTGTGTGTATTTGCTGCAGCCAGCCCCACCTTGGCACTTACTAGCCTTAAAGATCACCACAGGGTGACCCTGATCCATTCCTGGTCTCATATATTTCTGGGGAGATTTATGTCCTGTACCGCTCAGCCCTCTGTTAGACATTTCAAACATATTAAGTCAATTTATTCTTTTAAGGGAATAATATGCACACTGCGTGTTATCCTAAATAGAGATGCCAGATGCTTCAACCTGAATACAATGTATTAGATAAAGGAATAAAACAAGTGAATTAACTACAGAGAGAGGTATTTTAAGCAAGTACAAGAACTGAGGGATAAAAGTCAGAAATGGTTACAAGAAAAATAAAGATAACTTAGGCACTATGAAGTATTTTAACAAACTATATTAGGTTCAAATCAAAGTTCTCCCCAGATGCTTTCAGCAGGCTTCCTGACCAAACCCTTAAGGTCAGCACCCTTCCCTCAGAGCCCAATGGCTAGTCCTTTTGTATCATCAGGTGATATGAATGTGATGGTCAGAAAGGAATGCTGTCCCATCTTTCTATAGTCCTCTCCCCACTTTGAGAAGCATTTCCAGCTGGGAGCAAGGGGACAGGCAGTCTGTGTAGAAGTAAACTCCATGCTGATTTTTTGCTATGATGTGGATTTTTGCCCCAGACCCCTTGCCAAAAAATAATATCTTAGCAGGTAATAGTCCATCAGCCTTGCTTACACCTAGCTGATGCTTCAGCTTACTCTTTATCTCTGAGAAACTGGTTTGGCCACTCTCTGGAAAACATATTTTTCAGTCTTGATTTCAGTTGGTTTGTAACTTCACACATAATGCTGCTGCATTCATTTTATTATATTACTGATCAGCAAATTGAATTTTTAAATGATACCTCACAAGGCATACCTGTACAAACATTAAAAGGGAAACGGCAGTATATTTGAAAATATATGTGATTTGTCTTTACTCACTCGTAATAATAATATAAGACTCTTATAACTAAAATCTGTTTTCATTCTAATTTCATCCCCTTCACTATACATGCACATCCATTTGGAATTATTGGGGTGCTTCTCAATACAGGACTGTTTGATACTGATATATTTCTCAAAAAATATACATTGAGGCATTTGCTTTGGCAAACACTATGGATCTGATTCTACCATTCCTCAGTATGCTGATTAGTACTGTACTGTGTAAGTTGCTCATGGAGTCATAGATTTGAAAGCCAGAAAGCACCATGGTGGTGAGCCAGTCAGACCTCCCATGTGATACAGGCCATAGAGTTTTACTAAGTGGTTATTGCAGCAGACCCATAACTGTAGTTGGGCTAGAGCAGGTATTTTTAGAAAGAGATCATGATTTAAAGGGGTGAAGTGATGGAGAATCCAACACATTCCTTGAAAAGTTGTGCCAGTGGTTAAGTACCTGCATTGTTTGTTTTTTAAAAATCCATCATATTTCTAGTCTGAATTTGTCTTGTTTCAACTGTCAGCTGTTGAATGTCACTACATCTTTTGTAGATTAAAGAGATATCTACTATCAGAAATCTTTTTCCTAGGAAGAGTTATAGACGCAGATGAAAGCGTCTCTTCACCTTCTCTTTGTTGAGCTTCTTTTGTCTCTCATTGTAAGGCAGGGTTTTCAGACATCCATTGGTTTTAATGGGGCGACTTGTGAGGTAAGCAACTGTTAGCTAGGGCTGGCAGAAACAGAAAGGACATGTGATTTAATCCTGGATTCTGAGTGCCATTGATACTTTGTGTGGAGCTTGGGCAAATCACTTGGGGTTTTTGTTTGTTTTTTTTTACTTCATTTTCACATCTTTGTAACAGGTATAATACCTGCATGGTGGGTGTCCTGAGGCTTAATTAATGTCTGCAAAGTTCTTTCAGACATATAATACATTACAGCAAAACAAAAGAATGAATATAAAGGTTTACATGGATGTTGCAAATGGTGTAAATTGAATCAAAAGGAAAAGAAACGAAGGGTGCCTTAATAATGTCCCTTAAATTCATCTTTTCTTTAAGTCTTGTTTTTCATAGGAAGTGTTATCCTGTATTTCTTTGTTACAAATCTCATGTTTTAAAATCTTTTTGTAGCATGCTGGGACCAGCTGTGACCTTCAAAGTGCACTCAAATGCCCAAAATATTACAACTGCAGACGTTGCCAAAGCAGCAGGTAAGAATCCCAAACCCTTAACCTGTGCCCATGTACTGTTCAATTTAGAAAACAGCACCTCCACCAGCAGCAGCAGCAAAAGGAATGAGCATTCTCATAGGAAAGCTGTCTTTTAATGAAGGAGACAGTTGAAGGGTTAGTACACAGGTGGGAAATAGAAGCGTAACATCTTTGAGTCAATTAAAACTCCCTGAGACTTTATTGTTTGCAGAGGACTGGATTAAACAGAAGGAAGCAGTCATGGTCTAGTGTAGTGAAAAAGGCCCTAGTGTTGTACTGTATCTGGGAGAGAAAAATAGAGATTTTGAAAATGAAAAATTGATACCTGTGACTTCCAGAAATAAAACCAAATTCTTTGTAACAAAAAACTTAAAAATTTGCTTTTATTTATTAGTTACTTTGACAATTCCCATGAATATTTAGGACACAAACATAATATATCTAAAACTAAACTGTTTCTATAAACGTCACTGTTATGAGTACTATATTTTACTTAGATACCTACCGCCTGTGTGATGAAGTAATCTTTCTTATGACTACAAGAAATCCTTTCTGCAAATTAGCTGTCTTGGTCATTTATTTATTTCCAAATTACCTGAGATAGTTTGGGTAGTTTTAATATTTAAGAATAAATAATTAGCAAAATCCCTTTAAAATAGGGAACAAAGGAGACTAGTTTATATAAACACAGGGCAAACCATACTTGCTGTAAATGCACTAAATGCACTGCTGTAAACACCTCTTTAAATCAACTTGAAATGTTTCTGATATAGTCTTTTCTTTTTGTATGCCTGCCTGCTTTCTCTTGCATTAAACAGACATTTCATCAAGTTCCTATTCATGAACCTGACAGTCCAAATATTTTACTAATATTGGTAAAATAGGCTTAAATAAAAAAGTTGTATACCATGTAATTTTTATTAAAAGTTGAAGCTGCCAAAAAAAATCTCTTAAGAGGAATACCTTCAAAACAAATCTACAAAAGAAAACAAGAGCATGCGTATTTTCAGGGTAGATACTTCATTGCTTTGACTTCATAGCTAAATAACTGTATTACCTCATGAACTAATGTAAGTAATTTTACATCAGTTTGGAGATTTTAAAACCAGACCCTATTTACAGAAAATAAATGGGTTCTACTAACTGATTAAGTCCACTCACCATCAAATCTTTGGAAGAAAGAAGGATTGAAAGAAGAATTAATTGAGCCACTCAGATACTATAATGACCTCATATACTATGATACCTTAAATTGCTCAGATTGACAGAAAGGAATCCAGATGTACAAGCTGCTTCATACATACATCCACCATGGATGTTCTTATGAGTTGCTTATGTGCAGCATAAGGATGGTGAGATTCCCTCAAAACCTACTAAGTTACAAAAGAAAACCTGAAGAAGAGCTATATGTAAGCTCAAAAACCTCTCTCACTAACAGAAGTTGATCCAATAAAAGATATTACCTCATCCACCTTGTCTCTAATATCCTAGAACTAACATGACTACAACAACATTACATAAAAGGAAAATATGTCTTCTATAAATGTAGATGAGCAAGGGTGGTGACATGCACAGGATCCTGAACTTTTCTAGGCTTCTGCTTTGTTACCAACTTCTCTTGGCATGCATATTTGATCCATACCCCTAAAAGATAAAGCTCTCCATGCCCACTTCTTGCTGATGAATCCTTTCTGGGTAACCCCATATTTCACATAGCCATTAATATCTTGATCCCTTTCATGCAGTTGCTAAAGCTTTCTGGAATCCACATAATGACAAGCATGACCACCCTGTGATGTCCATGAGTGGTGGGAGAAGCTTCTGCTTGGTTAGGCAAGCTTCCCAGGCTGTGGTGCACCTAGGCCCCATCCCCACTCTGCCCAGGCCCTGCCCCCACGTTGCTCAGGCCTCAATGTCTCCCTCTTTTCTTCCCTCACCATCTCTGTTCACCCCTTCTAGCCAAATCCCTAAACCCAAAGGTAGCAAGTGACATTTGAACCTACTCCTCCACACTAAACTAACATTTCTTTCTGAAGCAAATTAATCATATTTTCCTATGCATGCTAGATTGTGAAGACAGGACATGCATAAGGTACCTAATTAAACACCTTAAATTTGGGACTAAAATGTCAGTCACTGGTTTTTTGATATACCTTGAAGTTTATTTGCAAAAACATTGTAAGGGCAAGTCAGCTGTCCTGTTGACTAGAATATTAAATATTATGGAATACACGATGCAGGTCTTCTCTGTTTTGCTTTTTCTTAATCAATATTTCTAAGATAATTTTATATTTTAAATATAACCTAAGTCTTCATAAAGTAATAATTCCAGATTACTACATATTTAACACACTGAAACAAAGACATTATTTTAAATTGATCAGAGTGGTTTAGTATGTTCATTTTAGAAAAAGGGAACACTATTTTATTTTGTGTGATTTCTATAACCACAGACATGTTTATGAAATTTCTCTATATGCTTATGGTAAAAATCTGTTTCCAAAGATTTTAGACATAATAAAGGATTTTATATCTTACTAAGGTACTGATTTTGGTGGAAGGTTCTCTTAAAACTAGTTCATCAAATAGTCATAAGTAAAGAAACTCGTTTGTCCAGCTGTCTTTATTTGTTTTGCTATCTGGAAGAAAAAGGAATGTTGCCCCTTTAGGACTCTCTTCAACAGGGAAGTAAAGAGAGAAATTACTGCAGAGATGTACCAAAAGGAATGGAAGACTTTGGAAACAAGTTTTTATACTATAGTAATTAAAATTAAAGGCTGTGTCTACACTGGCACCCCTTTCCGGAAAAGGGATGCTAATGAGATACTTCAGAATTGCAAATGCCGCGGGAGATTTAAATATCCCCCGCGGCATTTGCATGAACATGGCTGCCGCTTTTTCCCAGCTCGGGGTTTTGCCGGAGAAAAGCGCCAGTCTAGACGGGATCTTGCGGAAAATAAATCCTTTTCCGGAAGATCCCTTATTCCTACTTATTTCAAGGAATACTTTCAAGTAGGAATAAGGGATCTTCCGGAAAAGGGTTTATTTTCCGCAAGATCCCGTCTAGACTGGCGCTTTTCTCCGGCAAAACCCCGAGCCGGAAAAAAGCGGCAGCCATGTTCATGCAAATACCACGGGGGATATTTAAATCTCCCGTGGCATTTGCAATTCCGAAGTGTCTCATTAGCATCCCTTTTCCGGAAAGGGGTGCCAATGTAGACACAGCCAAAATGTGTATTTCAGAAAAGAGTGGCCTTTTGAAGAATGTATTTAAAAAACTGTATATCTAAAGAGCCAAGCATTTAAGGTTAAAGCTCAATATTCAGATTGTATATGTGAAAATCTATGCAAAGATTATTTTACAGATATGATTTCATAATCTTCAGCAACAAACTAATTAAATATTTAAAGCAAATTTTAAATAAGGTCCTGTAGACATATTACAGTAATGCACAACTGTTTTTGTCAGTAAATGCAGTAGCTGACAGTATATACCTCCAGGTTGGCACATGCCTGTTAAATGGCTTCATTACCACTTAATGGTTCAATGTTATGCTAATAGGTCTGCAAAGCTGGAAGGCCTTTTCTCTTTTCAATTGCTAGATTCTGTTTGAAAGAAGACTCAACAGGCTGTGACAGTCTGCTGTGGGAGTGTGCAGGAATGGTCAGAATAGCGATAGGAAAAAAGGAGAGGCCAAGCACTAAGACCAAGGCATTGCCTCCTCTTGCCTCTTGTACCTGCCATCCATGCTGGCCTTTCTAGTTCTAAATATCCCCGCTTTGGGTGTGGTATACTTCTTATAAGGCCAATCTTGCTCATATGATTCATGAGACTAGTAATTGTTTTCTATAAAAAGCATTTGTACAGCTTATCTCTGCCTAATAGTAACTTTGTATACTAGACTATATTAGACTAGAACAATGGCCTTATTATTTGTCAGTATCATGTATCTGATATTGCTAATGTGGAAGAAGCATACATAAGTTTGTGTACCTTTCATAATCCACTCACATGGATGTTAGATGTGGCAAGCACAGTAATGCAATGTAACTGCACATCTCAACATTTTTGATGATGCAAGTCAGTTCCATAAGTAAATGGCTTGGTAGCAGTACATGACACAATAGTCGTTAAAACTAGACAAATTCAAGTATCTTTTATTTCCCCTTCTCTGTTTTAAGATTAGAAGAAATCTAAGGGAAAATACATAGGACAGTATTTTTCTCTATATGAACCAGCATTGTCATTCACAAGTATTGTAAGTGAAATTATAAGTTACTTAGTTGATCTTTGTATAGAAATTAAATTTGGGAATTGTGTTACTGTATATTCCAGCTCTCTTCAAATTATATTGAAGCGGATGGGGGGGGGGGGGGTGTTTGGAAGAAGTATGCAAATAGTGCTTGCATTTGCATACCTTCTTCCGTTTTTTGTCCCAGAAGAGGCTTTTCCGCCATTTGGCCCCGTCTACACAGGGCCAAATGTTGGAAACACCCCCCTCTCTTTCAAAAGCCGCCTTTTTCCTCATAAAATGAGGTTTACAGGGACTTTCTAAACGGGTTTTTTTTTCCCCGACATTTGGCCCCATGTATATGTATATGGGGCCAAATGGCAGAAAAGTCATTTCTGGGGGGAAAAATGGAAAAAGGTATGCAAATGTGAGAACTATTTGCTTACTTTCTTCAATCCCTCCCACCATACCCCCAGTGTAGCCATAACCCGAGTCGCCCAGTGGTTTATTCTTTTCAAACAGGCTAGTAACTCCCATTAATGTTAACATGAAGAGGTGAATAGACCTCCTCAGATTACCTTAGTGTAGTAAATTTACTGTTTTACTGCTCAATAAAAACTATACATATACATATTTTACCATATGTTTTCTTATATCATACTGGATCCTACAAGATACTAAAATATTCCTTTTATATAATCCTTGTGCATATAAAATGAGTGCTATATGATGTTGAGTATAACATTTTATTATTGCAAGAGTATCTTC